TAAAGAGGGAAAAAAATATTTTCCTGACATCAGGAAAACATTGTTTCTGCAACTCAGTTCTGTCCTGGGTGGAATGAGGGCTGCAGGAGGAGCGGCAGGAATTCCACAGCCRCTCCCACCTCCCCCAGAATTCCACATTTTCACCAATTTTGGGTTAAAACTCCACCCCTGGAGCCCCTTTGGCATCATCATCAACCCCAACCCCACAATTCCTGAATTGTGGCAGATTTTGGGTTAAAAATTTACCCATGGACCCCCTCCACCCCCATCACCAACCCCACAATTCCCAAATTCTGACAGATTTTGGGTTAAAAATTTATCCATGGAGCCTTTTTGGCATCATCACCAACCCCAACCTCACAATTCCCAAATTCTGACGGATTTTGGGTTAAAAATTTATCCATGGAGCCCCTTTGGCATCATCACCAACCCCAATCCCACAATTCCCAAATTCTGACGGATTTTGGGTTAAAAATCCATCCTTGAAGCCCCTTTGGCATCATCACCAATCCCAATCCTACAATTCCTGAATTCTGACAGATTTTGGGTTCAAACTCCACCCATGGACCCCCTCCACCCCCATCATCACCAACCCAAATCCCAAATTATGACGGATTTTGTGTCAAAAATCCCTCCTCCAACACCATTTCCACGCCTCCACCGAATTCCCAACCTCCGGAGCTGCAGGGAGAGTGAAAAAGTGACAATTTTGGTTAAAAATCACCAAGAAATGCCAGCGAAGGCGACGAACTCACGGCGAATTCGTTGTCGGGGTCTTTGTCACCCTTAAAAAYGGGGCGGGAGTGCGTGAACTGCTGCACCTCGTTGGCTCGGTAATAACTGCAGAAAAGAGGGAAAAAAGGGCATTTTCCTCCCTCTTATCCTTCTCAAAAATATTTCAGTGTCCTCACCACAGTGGGGAGGGATTTGAAAGATTTGAAGAGTTTATACTATTTTTAAACTATTTTTTCATCTTTTTTTTTCAATTTTCTCACAATTTTCACAATTTTTTCACAATTTTTACACTGTTTCCAAACAATTTTCTCACTATTTTTACTTTTTTTCCCATGCCATTTTCAGGCAATTTTCTCACCATTTTCTTGCAACTTTATCACCATTTTCTCACCATTTTCTCACAATTTTTACTATTTTTACACTTTTTTACACAATTCTTGCACAATTTTCACACATTTTTTACTCAATTTTCTCACCATTTTCACACAATTTTCTCACCGTTTTATCACAATTTTCTCACCATTTTCCACACCATTTTCACACAATTTTCTCACCATTTTCTCACTATTTTTACATTTTTTTTACACAATTCTTACACTAATTTTCTCACAATTTTCACACAATTTTCTCACCATTTTCCTCACCATTTTCCCACCATTTCCACACCATTTTCTCACAATTTCCTCACCATTTTTTGGTAGTCTTTTTACACAGTTCTTACACAATTTTCTCACGATTTTCTCATGATTTTCTCACAATTTCCTCACCATTTCCTCATATTTTCACACCATTTCCACACCATTTTCTCACCATTTTTTGTAGTTTTTTTACACAGTTCTTACACAATTTTCTCACCATTTCCTCACCATTTTCTCACCATTTCCCCACCATTCCCACACCAAACCACACCCCCCCACTCCCCAGCCACCAGATTAGAAACCCGACCGAAAAATCGCGGAAAAAGGGAAAATCCATTACTTGAGGATCTGCTCGGGGACGGGTTTGTCCTTGTACCGAGCGGGCAGGTTCATCACCGGCTTCACCAGGAAGCACTGCACATCTGCACGTGTTTTGGGTTAAGTTTTTTCCTTTTGTTTCCTTTTTTTGGGGATTTTTCTTTCCCCTTTTTTTTGCTGGGATTCACTGATTGCCGGGTCATCCTTCTGATGGCTCAGTGATCGGTAAAGACGATGGGATCTACGCCCCACCCAAACGGTGATGATCCCAAACCCCCCAAACCTCACAAACCCTAAAAGTTACACTGTTTGGGGAAAGTTTTGATGATCCCAAATTCCCCAAACCCCACAAACCCCAAAAGATACACTCTTTGGGGAAAATCCTGATGATCCCAATCTCTAAAAGATACACTGTTGGGGGGGAAGCCTTAATGACCCCAAACCCCAAAAGATACACTGTTTGGGGGATGCCCTGACAATCCCAAATGCCCCAAACCCCACAAACCCCAAAATATACACTGTTTGGGGGAAGTTTTGATGACCCCAAACCCCCCAAACCCCCCAAACTCCACAAACCCCAAAAGATACACTGTTCGGGGGAAACCCCAATGATCCCAAACCTCCCAAACCTCAAAAGATACACTGCTTGGGGGATGCCCTGATGATCTCAAACCCCCCAAACCCCGCAAACCCCAAAAGACACACTGTTTGGGGGAAGTTTTGATGACCCCAAATCCCCCAAATTCCCGAAATCCACCAAACCCCAAAAGATACACTGTTTGGGGGAAACCCCAATGATCCCAAACCCCAAAAGATACACTGTTTGGGGGATGCCCTGATGATCCCAAATGCCCCAAATCCCCCAAACTCCAAAAGATACACTGTTTGGGGGATGCCTGACCATCCCAAATGCCCAAACCCCTAAAGATACACTGTTTGGGGGATGCCCTGACGATCCCAAACCCCCCAAACCCCACAAACCCCACAAACCCCAAAAGATACACTGTTTGGGGGATGCTCTGATCTCCTCTCCCGGGGGCGCGGTGCTGCTCAGTTTCTCGGCTCCCGGGAACTGCGTCAGCAGCTTCAGGTTGAAATCCTCACGGCGCTCGTACTCCTTACCCCGGTAAATGAAAATCTTGTTCTGGGGGAGGGAAAAAAAATGGGAATTAAAGATTCAAATATCCCAAAGAACTTTAGAAATTTGCTTCCCAAAAATCCCATAAAGTTCGTAGTTCTTGTCTGAATAGAAGGGGAAAAAAAAGGAATTAAAAATCAGCTTCCCAAAGATCCCAAAGATCCCAAGGAGCTCGTACTCTTTGTTGTGTGAGATGAAAATCCTGTTCTGGGGGTGGGAAAAAAAAAAGGGAATTAAAAATCCAAATATCTCAAGGAGCTTCAAAAATCAATTTCCAAAAATCCCAAATCCTTGCCCCGGTAGATGAATATCTTATTCTGGGGGCAGAAGGAAAAAAGGGGATGAAAATCTTGTTTTAGGGACGGAAGAGAGGCGAAAAGAAAAAGGGAATTGAAAAAAAGAAATTAAAAATCAGCCTCTGAAAGATCCAAAGATGCCAAGGAGCTCATACTCCTCATCGTGGTGGAGAAAATCCTAAAATGATCCTGAATTTTCAATCCCAGGAATATTTTCAGCCGCGCTGCCCCTGGATCTGAGCCGTTCCTGCCCCCACACAGCTCCAGCAACGCTCGGCTGCTGCCCCAAATAACAATTTTAATTCTTCTGGAATCATTAAACACTGAAATGATCCCTGTCCATGAAATCTGGCTGATTTGGGCTGGAAAAAAAGGTGAGAAAGAATAAAACACTGAAATTATCCCTGTTCTGAAAATTTGGCTGATTTTGGTCTGGGAAAAAAGTGGGAAAAATTCTCCCATTTTCTCACAGTGGCCATCACGTTTCAGAGGAAGCACAAACACAAAAATTCTGTTTAAATCCGCGGAATAACTTTTCCACCATCTAAAAAACCCTATCGCAACGCCCGGACTGCACCCAAACTGGTAAAAACTCAAAATTTCGTCTCTTCCTCATCTCTGAAAGGCTCTGAAAGTTCCCAGGATTTTGATCTGGAAATGCAACTGAAAGGAAAGGGAATTCGGCACCGAATTTTCTCCAAAATTTGTGACTTTTAGGGTGCCCATATTTGAATTTGGGGGATCCTCACCCGCAGGAAAGAGGGAAATCCTTGTCCGTAGTACCCGACAGCGAAATACTCGGGCTGGGGTCGCATGGCCTTCATGATGTTCTCATAAAATGTGGCTCTTTTTTTCTGGAAAAGAAGGAAAAAATTCACATTTTCACCTCGGGATGTTCCAGGGAACCACCACGTTCCCATTCCCGGGAGAATTCCCGATCCATGAGTGGGACACACTCAAAAATCGCTTTTTTGGA